TGCCGTTCTTTTGCTGGGCTTGGCTGCGGAGAAGGAGATAAACATCACCATCATCAAAGAGCTGGTCAAGAAATTTTTTAAAAAGAAACAAAGTTATGGGGTTAATCTCCTACACAATTCATTTACTTCATTTGAATGTTAGAGCCACTCTTGATTATTTGTGTTTCTAATTTATAGTTTAAGTTTATTTGTAAAAAGTTAAAAAAGAGTGGGCCTCTGTGGCCTTCACTGAGGTTCACTCTGGCATCCTTTAGCATTTTTCTTTTTTAATTTCATAATTGTAGGTCATTAGCATGCATATCGAGTTTGCCCTTACGTGGTGGGAGTTCAAAATGGACTTAAAGTCCTGTTCTTGCCTTTTATTTTCTGAACTTGCCACTTTTGCATTCTTTGAGTTCAGTTTAAAGACAGTTACTTTAAGTCCATTTTAAAACCTCGGGCTAGAAATCGGACCACTGTTAATTAGTCATATTATTTGGTCTAATGTTTTTTCTTTATCATTCTGAAACTGGGTTTATCTAATACATGGATAAATTATTTCAAAGGTACTTTTATCGTTGAAATAACTTCACTTTTACCCTGATAAACATCAGTGACTGGGAATGACCTTCAGATAGTGTTTAGCGTCTGTGGCCAATCTGACCATACTGTGTTCATCAGGTGCCGATGGGTTAAATCACACGCTGGCGTATTTCAGCTGAATGTCCGTCTGGAAAATAAATTTACTGTATTAACTGAAATTCCACTCTTTGTGTAGGTATTTGGCATATATTTAAGAAAAAGCTAAAAAGAATGGAAATCGTAGGACAATAACTTAAGTCTTTCTTCAAAGTGCACGCAGTCTTTTGCGATACCTCATTCAGCCAAGTATTTGTGCTCTTCCTCATTCAGTGTAAGGCAGCTTTCGATTTGCTTAGAAGGCAACATTGGAAGGTTAGAGTTCATCAGAAACATAGAATTTTACAGTGTGATTTCAACTGAATAAATTTGAATTTCTGTAGGAAGAATCAAAACATCTATTTAAAGATTGCAATATATAGTAATCATTTTTAAAGTATTTGATTAAACCTGATAGGTTTTCCAGAAATGAAAAAAACCAAAATGAGCTCTAAAACCAAAGCTGACTTTTAGGAATTTGAAAATGTAAATCAACCCTATCCATAATATAGTTAGTCTAAAATCTTATCTTAAAGAGTCATTTTTAAAACAATATAACTATTAAAAAATGTAACTGCTATCAATGTTCTGAAATAAGTTAAAACATTTTAAAATATGAACACTGTAGTTTAAAAGAAGCAAATGGTGGGAAGGAAAAGCAAAGAAAGAAATGCCAATTCCAGCCCAAAGCTTTATTTGTCAAGTTTTCTTAGAATGAATTTTACCAATTTATGAATTCTTGTAAACAGAATGTATAATAGAAATACTGAAAGACCTTTGCCTAAAGTGGCACTATTGACTGCTGGTGTGATGCTACTGTAATGTAATAAATGATTTAATTGTTGCAAAGTGCTGTTTTTTTCCTTAAAATTTTATTTTGCGTGTCTTGAAAACGATATTATTAAAGGTATTGATACTGTGCAAATGCTGGGCATGCTTGGCATGAGATAATCTGTTTCATTTTTATAAAATTGTAATATAACTATGCAGGTGTTTATTAAAAGAACACAAAATAAAATGTTATGGGATTAAAGTTATGGGGTGAAAAAGTTATGGGATAAAAAAGTAAAAAAGTTGTGGCAAAAAGGGAGAAAAAAGTTTTATGGGAAGTTACTAAAAAAAACTTACGAAAAAGAAGTTATGGGATTTTAAAGTCATGGGACAAAAATGAAAATTAAAAGCAGGCCCCTGACAGCAAGCCCTGGAGAAGTGGGGCTGGAGTCTCCACCGCCACCATGTCCCTGCCACCCCTTTCCAGTCACCCCTTTACAATTAAGGTAGCAAGACAAGACCTCTGTCTAATGCGGAAAGACAAACAGACCCTTTGCCACCTTGACCAGGGCTGAGTCCTTAAATTTCTGGATGATGATGATTGTTATTTAAGAGCCAGAGGCTGGTGGAGTTGGTTTGTTTGGAGGAGGCCTGATGGCCTCATTACTCTCACCATAGCAACTTTTCCCTCAGGGAGGCTCCCAGCTTCTTATTCAGAGAGGTAGCTGAGGCAGGACAGTGGGGCTAACTGTGGACCAGGCGAGGACACGGGCTGCTGGCGTGGACCCCCTTCCCCAGTGTACATATTTTGTCTGTGTAACGTTTTGTATATTCCAGAGGGTGGGGCCACCCCTGTATGGTACCTAGCTGTGGTTGGAGCTGGCATGTGGGGAGGAGGTTCTAATAATTATTTGTGGCTGGGAAACTTATTTATTGCTAGCATACGACAGAGGAAGGAGTCGGAGATGGGGTCGTGGCTCCGTAGTGGTGTGACACCTGTTTATTTTGCTTTTTATTTTGGAATAAACGGATTTAACCATACTCCTCGCCCTGGTGTGTTCCCGTTTCCCTCACTGGGTCCTGGAGTTTGTGCCACCGAACGAGGAGCCCCAGAGTGTCTTGAGCATGTCCAGCTAGGCTGTTGGGGACCTTCCAGGCTTGTTACCTGTATGCTGCCTGGTGGCACCTGGGGCATTCCACGGGGACTGCCATGGCGCCTACAGGGCGCAGTCCGGCCCTAACAGCCAACAGGCTCGCTCAGAAGCCTGCTGTAGTGGAGGCCGGAAAGACAGGTATCAGCATCTAAGGGCACTGACTTCCACCCAACCCAGGCGTCTTCCATTCAGTCCCCGTGCCTCCCTCTCCTGTCTGCACCTGGTGGCCTCTTCTGTCTGTCCCTCCAGAGTGCCGGCTGCCCCGCA